ACATAGCCATCGATGAACAATCAGTTGAACTTCTTCAAGCAAATCAAAGCATTGGCATTTTATGAGTCTTTTGACAGTTCACAAACAGGTAAAAAAAATGTATATTCGTGAATTTCACCCGAGGTTTCTGGTTTTAGAACCTAATAAACCTAATAAACTTCCATTCTTTTAATTCCAGGGAGAGATCTGAGTTGTATGGAGGATGGTGTAGAGACGGCCCGCTAAATTTTGCGAAGTTTTCAGAATCTGTCTTGCCATATGTAGCTAGCGTTAGCCTGAAAGTGAAAGCCTTTTGGATCCCCCCTTCCTCCCTGTCGAATTCTTCTTTTCAAACGAACTTGCGAAGCATTACCAATATATATATATCAGTTTGAAGCTTATTTCTTTGAAAATTAGTGCTGCAGTACTGTTATACATACATAAAAAAAATCAGCAACTTCGAGGAACCACTAACCTGAAATACTTTAGAAGACACTTATTCACTAGATTTCCGTACGCTGGATTACTGTGTTAATTCAGAATCATAATAACTTATCAGGACTTGTTAGAGAAGATTATTATGCTCAAGAACTTAATCTTTTTCCTTTCGTTGAAGCAATGCGTAAGGCGATTGAGCTTATGTATTTCACTTAGCAAACGTGGCACTCATCTTGCATAAACACGAGAGATCTTCGGGTACTTCTGAACTTAACTTGATATGTCGCAACCTTAACATTTAGTTCACAATTCACACAGATACACATCTGTCTTCCTTTAAGACTTTCTCTGCTTTCACTATGTTCACAGATGTTGAATGGCCTCCTCTTTTCGGCTGAACTTGAACACATCGTTTGCTTTCTAAACTTGAATGTCCGGTGTGTCCTTTTCCTTCACCATATAATAGTTTGATCATCTCAAGAGGTTCTTGGACACTTCCGCGTAAGTTGACACGAAATTCACCAAAGGCATATCCTTCTCAGATGCCATTGTAATGCACATTGCATTTGGATCTTCATAATGAGGAAACAAAAGGCGTTGGCCGTATTTACATGAACAAGATACACCACAGTCGTCTTTACGTGAGACAATTACAAAATATCTTCAGAGAATCAACGTAGATTTGCCAGTTCACAAACTTTTGGAACAATCCTCGTACCTCTCAGAAGTTTTTCCTTTTCACATAAAAATATTTATTTATTGTACGTTGGTAGTCTTCTTTTTACAAAGTGCACTTCTACTAGCATTTATTCCTGTGTATCACGAACAAAATTCTAATCATAATTCTAAAGTATATATTTTTTAAAGATCTACGTCTACGATTAAGGTTGACAACAGATTCTTCAGAATATTCCTCAGCTCTGACCCTCAGTGGATTTAGTAATATTCGAAGAGGAGGAAACATGACAATTCATTATTTCTATAATGAATAATTCTTGGTGTCATCTTTTGAAGACAATGGTGTAATAGTAATCTCTTACTATACAAGTGGTCGTCGACTCTCCAAATCTGGGCATTTGTTACTGTAGTTATATCTAGTAGACAATCAACTTGTGTGCCTTTTGTAATATTTCATTTTTATTGAAGTAAACGGCTGCGCGATTTGACGGGAAGCTCTATTCACGGAAATGACTGCGCGTCATTAGTAATATTTCATTTTCTGATAAATAAACGAATACTAAATTAGACTGGGCACTCTATTCATGGAACCAACTGTATAACTTTTAAAGATCTACTTCTAGGAAAGAGGTCGTCAACTGATTCTACACGAATGTCCTTGCTTCAGTTGTGTCTTGTTGCTTCTGCCACACTTCAAATATTTGAACTAAAATTTAGTTTCTCAAAGTTAAATATCTGTTTAGCTGCTTAATTAGTAAAATTTTTTCCTTGCTAAAAATTGCCTAGTTGTAACAAACATTTAAAGATTTTTTCGATAATATAAGCGTTTTAATTGATCTTTCTGAAGCGGCAGTATTTTGTGTAATGGGTTTAGAGTAGAGGGCTTCGAAAAGATGTTTTGTGATAAAAAGGAAATTTATTTTTCATTCGAATTCCTATATATGGGATTCTTGCCTACGCTACAAAACTAGAAAATTTCGTTTATGATTTTGAAAGTGTTACTGATTAAAATAGGTGTAACTTCGGTAGTTATTTCGAAAAGTTGGAAAGAGGAAAACATTTAGACGTCATTTTCAAGGTTCAACTTATCAACTTACAATGAATAAATAAATAAATAAAAATAACTAAATATTTTTATGCGAAAAGGAAAAACTGCTGAGAGGTACGAGGGCTGTTCCGAAAGTTCGTGGGCTGGCAAATCTGCGCTGATACTGTGGAAGAGATTTTGTGATTGTCTTTCGTAAAGACAGGTACAGGTAGAAGCTAGGCCAGCATCTCCGTAGTACCGCAGGTTATTGAGGTATTGCTGAACCTATCTAATTGTTAAACTTTCCACCCCAGTTTTGAGGATAACACCTCGGGGGTGGTCCAAGGATCTCTCGCCCCTCTTTTTTTACCATATCAACCCCTTGAGAGGATTTTCTGAGATAGTAAAGGCAACTGTGGTTATTTTTTCATGTAAATTGTACCAACGTCTTTTATTTCCTCGCTATGAAAGTCGAAATGCAATGTGCATTACAATGGCGAATGTGACGGATATGCCGCTGATTACCAGACAGAGGATCACTTTCGTGTCAACTTACGCGGAAGTATCCAAGAATCTTTTGAGATGATCAAACTAACGTATGCTTAAGGAGCGGACACACTGGACGTATTCAAGTTTAGAAAGCAGACGTTGTGTTCATAAAGCGAAGGTCCATAAACATCTGTAAACCTAGTTAAAGCAAAGAAGGCAGTTGTTTACCTCTGTGAAATGTGAACTAAATATTAGAGTTGCGACATGTCAAGTTAATGTTCAGAAGCAACTGAAAATATCTCGTGTTTATGCCAGACGTGTGCCACGTTTGCTAAGTGAAGAGCATAAGCTCCATCGCCTCACGCGCTTCTTCAACGAAAGGAAAAAGAATGAGTTTTTGAGCATAATAATCTTCCCGAACAAGTCCTGATCAGCTATTATGATCCCTAATTAAAGCAGTAATGCAGCGTATAGTAATCTAGCGAATCTAATGTCTTCTAAAACATTTTGGGTTTGTGTTTCCTCGAAAAAGTTAATGATGATTTTTTTTTTTTTTTTTTTTTTTTTTTTTTTTTTTTATGTCTGTATCAGAGCATAGATGAGAGGATGGTTAAAATAAGGTAATGCGTTAATAATAATATAAATGTGCGATAAATGTTATGGTACTAATTAGAAGCCTAAAACGTAATTTTTAGTGAAGTTTATTGAATCAATCAAAGCCCATTAGGTGTACGGAGCAATCACTGAACACTTAATGCTTTAGTTATCGGTGCTTAACGAACTGACCTCAAGAAGTTTTTGCAATTTCCCTCCTGTATAGCGTAATAGGGCTAGTTTCCCTTAGAAAGTCCTTCATGAAAGCATCCTTATTAATGTGGATTAGTTTCTACTAATGCTTTGCTTTACTTTAATGTGTTATTTATTAAAGTAGATCAATTTCGAATAATGCTTTAGAAATCATGTAATCTAACTAAAGAAGACTAAGGGAAATTGCAACTTATATAGCTTCGATAAATTACAAAATATTAAACTCTGCTCCATAGACGGAATCTGTTGTAAGTTTTCATTTTCAGTTCAAGCGTTTTTTGTACACACTTATCAGTAGAAATATTTAATAAAAATTCATTTAATATATTTAGCAAATCCAAAAACCTACGAGCGGCGAAGTAGATACACCAATTGAATACTAATTATAGTACAACCAGCCTTCGTATGACAGTGAACGGGCTGAGTAGATGGGTGTTTTCATAGTTTTCACAGTTTTCACTGCGTAATATATTCTAGTCAGTTTCCTTTAAAATATCGTATCTTCCTCCAAGTGGCCGAGCGGTAAAGACGCTGAACACTAGTAATTCAATCTGGGTTCGAATCCTGGTGAACGGGCTGGCTGCATAGGTCTTTTCGTGATTTTCCCCACATGTAAAGGGAGTAGATTCAGTTTCCCGTAGAATGTCCTCCAGGAAAGCATCCCTTGCCTTAGGCTGATAGCCATCGCCTGCTTTGCCGTGATTAGATAAACCAAACCTTTAGAAAGTCTTCCACGAAGATAATCTTCCCTTTCGACAGGTAGTTACTATACTATACTTTGCTATACTCAACTGAACAAACAAATGAAACAAAAAAATTTTTTCCCATTGTTAAGCGAGGCCCGCCAGCGGCCGAGTGGTTAAGCCCGTTGAATATTTAAGAGTTCCTCCGGCTTCAACACCAGGCATTACATGGTTGGTTTTCGTGGGTTTTCTTATATGTAACATGAATACGAGCTAGTTTCCTTTATAAAATCCTCCACGGAGGTGTTCCTCCTCTTAGGCAGATAGCTGTCGTGTACCATGTATGGCAGATAGCCACATTCAGATAACCTAATCATTATTATTAAGCGAGCCTATCATTTGGCTTACTCATGTTCTGTATAGAATTCATGTTTGACTGGATAATGCCTTTACCCGTATTTCATGTTGCACGCTTTTCGTACTATGAGTAAGAAGTGATCTGATTGAGAACATTTCGCGCATGTTAGGCGATTCCCAGTTTAATATTATCAATTTATTTCGCCGGAACTAGTGAGCCTTTCATAATTGAAACGTTGAAAGTTTTTTCTCGAGGCGGTCATTCGGCCTCGGCTGCACTTCCGTCTTTCCTTTTCGATCTTCACCAGAGATCTCCGATAACCCTTTCAACCTTAACAGATATATATTTTTTATTTTTTATTTAGAATCTCACTAGGCCAGTAGGATTAACTGTCAAATAACAAATGCGGGAGGAATCGCGAAACCGGTTTCTTTCTCTGTGCCGTTATTCGTGTGTTGCAAATTAGGTGAACCGGCGAGGAACAGTTTTCCAGCTCGCAGGGTATGAAACGATGTCAGGAATGGAATTGGAGGGGGAAATTACCTGTGGACAAAGAAAGCGAAAGAGTTTTTGAGAGGAAAATGTGCATGAAGTAGCCTTCACAGCAAACGCTGAACGAGACCAAACGTTTTTCGGGGTCAATGACCTAGGTAGCGCATGCGCTGTGTATAGCTGGAATTAAACAGCTGATTCTCGCTTCCTCACGTTCAAATTGGAGAAATACGGCGCGCTGTTATTGCATCTGCGTGCTGCAGATTTTAACTGATCGACTACATGGTACGATGCTTCAAAAACAGAACTTTCGGAAACTGGTGCTGGACTAATATTTCCTGCTCCTCGTCAGTACATGTGGTACTCTTTCCTGCATGACGTAGGTAAGAGAAATTTAAATATTTTTAGAAATATTTGTCTCTTAAAGTACCGTAGTTGGATATTTGATACTAAATTTATAGTTTTATATTTTTAAATAATTTATCGTTTAAATGTTTTCTTCTATTTTTCCGTATTTTTATCGGAAATGAAGTGAACGAGTGGAAAATTCTAATTGCCGTTCTTATCTACTTCCTGTTTCATGTGGATAAAATATTTAATAGCAGCTGTATACTGTTGTTGGTTTTGATTTCTTGTTTACTTTTCTAAACATTATGTTTTGGTATTATTTTTTCCAAATATGTTTTATTATTTTTATTTAAATTCAAAGGGAGTGATTCTATACTGTAAAAGTAGTTTTGAGTGTGAAGTTCAATGTTTAAATTTAACGAAAGCTTCTAAGTAATAAACTAAATCATTTATTTATTTTTTTAGCTGAACATTTTAGAAAGTATTCAAGGCATGGCAATTTTTTTAATAGACGTAATTGTGTTCCGTAACAGCATCTGGCAGAATCCAATACATTTAATCAAATTTTATTAAAACATTAATACATTCAGAGAGCATACTTGAATTTTTATTGCTATCGTATCTTGTGAATAATTCTTCTTTTTGAATAAAAATGTTAACTGAAAAACCGAGCAACCGTTTTTAGCGGTCTTAGTTAAAACTTAGGAAAATTGTAATACTGTGAATTTTGTTTAAAATATTGAATGTACATATGCTTTATGCATTCAGTTATATAAGTCTACATATCCAAAATTTTCGGTTTCTCTAGTCCTACAATGTGTTTACAAAAGTAAATAAACAAATGAGGTCAAAATTGTTCATATACAGTATCTTCTGCAATGGGAACAGATGTGCACAGCTATTGTTATTTAAATTTTAAGCAAATGAATTTTAAGTTACAATAGTTCTATTAAGTATTGTAATTCACAAAAGGTAAATCAATAACAAGATGAAAATAAATGAGTATCTTGTGTTTAACGAACTGAATGGGTCTGATTGTGTCCATTACTGAAAGTGTCCGTTCACTAGTGACCATTGAATTTCATATAGTTTTTAAGCTAAAATATTTAAATTTATTAATAACTCGGTTCTATAGTGCAGAATAACTGCTTAGTAGTTCTGAACAGAACAAACAGTTGCACCTCAACATACCGAATTTTATTATTATTTCTATGCGATTAAAAGATTAATCCTTCCAAGAATAAATTTAGTTCCGCAGTTAAATAATCTGCGAAGTACACGGATTCCAAATCTAACTCTCCCCACCAATGGATGAGCGGTTAAGACAGCTGAATACTGGGAGTCCGACCCGAGTTCGATCCCACTCAAACGGTCTGGCTGCATGGTTGGTTCCCCCCTTCCCCACGCACATGTCGGATAGTAATGCGAGAGAATTTCACGGAGGGAATTAAAGGTTTCAAAGAGAGTTTAAAAAGAGTTTCACGGAAAAGAGTTCCCTTTAAAAGAAGTTTCAAAGACGCATCCCTTCCTTTAAAGGTCCCATGAGTATTTAAGACGGCCGAATGCTGGTAGTTCGACTCGGGTTTGAATCTAGACGAATAGGCTTGCTGCATGTGTAGTTTTCTGGTTTTTCCCATGTGTAACGTGAATAACAGCTAGTTTCCCTGAGAAAGTTCTCCACGAAGGCATCCCCCCTTAAGGAGATAGCTCTCGTGTGCTTTGCCGTAATCAAATAACCTAACTCTCGCTCTAGGTGAGATCCATAGTGTGCTTTCCCATATTCAATTAACCAAACTGAATCTTAATTTTCTACACTGGTTCTGAGTCTGAAATTGATCATTGATTGGTTCGTCATTGTTCGTCATTGTTCTTCATTGATCATTGATTGGTTCGTCATTGTGAGACCCTTCACAAATTTTTATCGTTTTATATGTTTAACTATCATATGTAGCGCTTCATGGAGACTAGAATATATATGATATAAGAAGGAAATAAACAGGTTTAACCAAGAGGCCTAAGTGTTTTGTAAAATATAAATAAAATTTTTTTAAAGAATTTTTACGAAATTTCTCTATTAATTGTTCGAATCCTTTGACTTATCGGTAAAGCATAATAAATGTGAAAGAAAACATCTCAGAAAAAGAAATGTTCCGCCTTTTTTTAACTTAATTGCGTTCGTTTTCCTTAGATATAAGATTTAAGCGATAATACTGCCAGTATGATTCAAGAGACGTTACTTCTTGTTCGTAGTCCCTTCCTGAACCCTGTTTTTCATAATCAGTGGTTATACTTTCTACTAATTAGCTAAAACTAAAATAGGAATGACAATGTGATAGTACGCATCGGGACATATGTAATAACGGCATACCCACCTGCGCGGTTTGTATTGCCTTACTAGATGAATGTACCTGGGATTTGTTTTTTCTTTATTTACGAGAACTTGAGTGAAGTGGGAAATTGTGCAAATTGTAATAATGAATTATTCGAACTTAGCCGAAATTATGAAGAAATGTGCTCGAAATTAACTTAGAGCAAATAAATCTCCTTCAATGTGAATTCGGAGAATATATAATGTCTTGGATGGTTTCATCGTATATATATATATATATATTTGTGTGTGTGTGTGTGAATTTAATATAACTGACCTCATTTTCCCCCTGCACTTGAAAGCTCCGAGAAATTGTGACCTATATGTGTATCTGTGTATCATTCGTCATTCAATATCTGCAGGGATAAAAATAAAAAATTCAAATGATTTAATTCCAGATTTTTTTTTTAACATTGAGGAAGAAATGCTAATGATACTCTACAATCAGCTGAGTTGCGTAAATATGCAGGACTAGTTTCGAAGGTTGAACAGAACCTTCTACTTCAGCTGATGGCTACTGCCCGCCATTGGAAATAATAATAATAAAAAAGACTCTTTAGCTGATTTTCTTGCTACAGTATCTTTTACTTCTGTTCTTTGACGTGTTATTTGAGTTAATATTAATAATGAAGTTCAATTAATATTTTAAAACAATGCTGTCATTCAAATTTTTATTACGTTTTTATGCTGTTAATTTACTGAAATAATTCTCCCTCCTCCAGTTGGAAAACGGATAAACAAGTAAAGAAAAGTTTTTTAGACAGAAAAAAATTGTCAATTCTATGGAATATAATTTAAATACCAGCAAATTATACATACCAGCCATGTAAATCATATTACCGATATATTTCATTTAGAAGCACGGCAAACATATATCAAAATTCATTTTTATCCATAGACAGTATTTTAATTACAGTTATCCCTCCTTATAACACAGTCTTGCTCTTACACGATAAGAAAATTGTAGAAATCCTCGTTACAGCACGGCAACACTGGTTCATTCTAGCAGGTAGCAGGTTAATTAATATGCGTAATGTATGTGCATATTTCGATAACGTAATTTTTATTCTAAACATATACAAAATTAAGTTACGTAACATGCCATCTTTTGTAACACACAATGTAAACCAATATTTATACAGACAAAATACAATTAATCCCGGGAAAACTCTTATTCTCTCGCATTGAAATTCTTTTGAAATTGTGTCATGCCTGTCGTTTACGCAGATGTATAAATTATGTAATTGTGATTTTGAAAAAAAAATTAAAAGAAATTTTGGGTATGCGTTACTAATTAGCTTTGTTGTTTCCAGGAGTAATTATTGCGAAATTATATTTCAGTCCCAAACTATATCCGAAAATAAGAACATAATTTCTAAAATAAATTTTTTTCGAGATGAAAATATAAATTTTGAATCGTTTGTTGAAAGGAGAAAAAACGCCTGACGTTGCAAAAAATCTAAATTTAAACGAGGGAACCACTAAACAAATATTTTGTTTTTAAATGTTTTCGGAATGCATCTTCCTATTTTCTACTGGTTGTTAGTCTCGTATAACACAACAGTGTATTTTCTACGAACCTATCCTACCGTATTATTGTATTTTTAAAAGCTAAATAGGGGACAGATTTAATTCCCGTTTAAAAAAACGCGAAAATTATCACTGCAGTTCCAAACGCTTAGATACTGTATAAAAAGTCGCGATAAAGCATTCGTTGCTTCCGAAGCGAGCATTCACATTTGCTAAGTTCATTCGCCGCTTTCTTTTGAGATTTCCCTCAACACTTTGAACCCGAACAGCTAGTAAAACAATCTCGTTTTTGGCATTCTGCCGCCTGGGCATATGTATATCGCTTAGCCTTGAAATAGGCATCAACAAACGTTTTTACTTTCCAAATAATAAAGAGAGAAGAGCGCAGAAATCTAAGGTCATTACACTCTTCGAGTGCTTCCTGGTTGCTCTGTCAGGTAAGCGAATGGTAACATTTATTGATTAGCAGTTAAGACGGGAAATTTATTTTCAGAGTTCCTTTGTGAGGAATAAGTATCTTCTGTCCTCGAATACTCTTCTATAGTCACATGAATTAAAGATGTGTCGCATCTTAATTATTCTTCCTTTTCCGTTTAACATGAGTTTTATTTTTATTCGTATGCGTAATATCGCGCGAAATGTTCGTGTTCAAAAATCTGAATGCAGAGTCACGTGTGTAGGTTTTGGGCTTTGATTTGTTCCTCCGAGCACTAGCGTGCGTTAAGCATGTGGAATGCGTAGCATTTAGTGTAAAAAACGTAAAAACGTTCTAAGCCTTCATTTGGATCACACGCTGCTTCACATATCACGCCACTTTCTTAAAAATCCTCAAATTCTGAAATACTCATCTATAGGGTGAAGGAAAAGAAAAGGGAAAAGCCTTCTCTTCCATCCGGAGGAGGAGGGACTTTTCTTCCATTGGACTCTGTTCACTGCGCTGGTTATGTCATTTTTTATTAGATATTTATCAGTTTTCTTTTCACAGAATGATTTAATCTCTTATGCCCAGGCACCCGACAGGTATCTCTTTGAATTGTATTATCCTCTCCCTCCTACCTGCTGTATGTCTAATCAGCATCTAAGGAACTCTAATATGATGACTGAATTTGAAAGAACGAAATCTAATATCTTTCTTAA